CACATCCATTTCTGGTGTCCCCCGCCGTGATATTGCTGGAATATTGCTAAAAGCGGCGTAAAACCATACTCACTCACTCACTCACTCTTATGCCACATTCACCCTGATTATGTTTCTAGGTTTGTCATGACCATTCCCATGCTCATTTTATCAAAGTTTGTTTGTCTCTTATTCCAGCGAAAAGAATCGAGTATGGATCAGCCAGTCTACCGATTGACATCATGAGCATCGGAATTAGGATATAATGACATCAACCATGTCAGCTTGTCTGGCACTCCATCTCGTTATCACAACAAGCTTGGGTTGCCAAGACCACTTCTAAGAAAGCGGTTAACAACTGAGATCTGCATTAAGTCGGTTTTTTCACCCCCTTAGCTGACGGTCGTGATATTCCTTAACTTACTGTCATTTCACTCCAGTCATGTTGGATCCCATTGTGAAAGAGTGAGTGAGTGAGTATGGTTTTACGCCGCTTTTAGCAATATTCCAGCAATATCACGGCGGGGGACACCAGAAATGGGCTTCACATATTGTACCCATGTCGGGAATCGAACCCGGGTCTTCAGCGTGACGAGCGAGCCCTTCAACCACTAGGCCTTCCGACCCCCCCCCCCCCCCCCCCCCCCCCCCCCCCATTGTGAAAGACGTTAGTCTAACTTGTTGTTATCAGTGGCAAAGTAATTGATAAAGTTAATTAAGCCTACCTTGAAGCATTTATCTAATTCCACATATGTTTGGATAATGTCTAGTCAGTTTGTGAAATTAAAAACACACTGATTAGGTGTTTCGCGTAGACCGTCAGCTTGATGTTGGAAAAAGACATTCAAGACTTAGGCAAACTTAGGTTCACTTAACTCTTTGCCCCAATAAACTATCATAAGCAAAAATCATGTAAACATTTCAATTGTAAAATGGCATCACCATTGCCAGACATATGAGGTCAGATACATTTTGGAGAGGCAGTGTCGGCTTGAGGTTAAAGCCTTCATGGTTATATGCCGCAAACCCTGTCTCGATTCCCTAATAGATACAATGTGTGAAGTGCATTGTTGGTTTGTTTCCCCAGCAGTGAAATACTGAAATATTGCAAAAGGCGACGTAAAACCATATTCCCTCACTCATCCCATATAAGGGGGCACGGGTGGCCCAGTCGTCTAAGGCGCCGCAATTCGCTGTGCAGAGTTGCGTCCCTTGGGCACGCCAGAAACCTATGATTGTGGGTTCGAATCCCGGTTCGCCCCAATTATGTTTCTAGGTTTGTCAGCACCATACCCGTGCTCGTGGGTTTCACCGAAGTGGTAAACGTCTTAGACCTGCATCACTTCGGGCTTTCCTCCCACATTAAGCTGGCACGCCGTGATATAACTGGAATACTGTTAAAAGCGGCGTTAAACCCAACTCACTCACTCACTCACTCATCCCATATAAATTACAATATATCAGCAGCCACTTACATCAAATGTGTTTACAACTTAAGTCAAGGTGATGTGTTTGTTTTGATCACCACTACCCAGCCACAGAATTATGTACAGAAAGGAATTCTGTCTTCAAAGATTCAGCAAACAGGAAGCGCGTGTGAAATGTTCATATCATCTTAAAAGGCGACTTAGTGGGTGGAAAACATATCGTACACAACCCCAAGGCTCAGATTGCCAGTTCAACGGAAGTTCCAGCTATTCACAGCATTTTAAAATGTCTCGGAAAGCTATATTACTTTATCGTACTGTATTTGTGTCTATGTTTATACTACAAATGTTCTATTTCCCGCTCCATGATAATACAGATGCAATATGACGCACCTATCGAACTGGATATTCGCCCACAGGTGAAAATAACTATTTTTGAACAAAGATGTTTTCCAACTTCTGATTGGAACAATGCCTGTATTGTGTTATAACAGGTGCGCAAAGGCTTGTTTCCTGTCACTAATGAGTACTCATTAATGATTCCGCAAGTATTAATGAGGTTTCCTTCTTTCCTATATATCATTGCTGACGTACGTACATGTAATACGCCGGTTTGACAAGTCACTTCCCAGCTAAGCTCGATGTCAAGCTTTTTATGCGCAATTTGTATTGGTAGCTAACTGGCTACTTTTCCATATATAAAATCATCTGTCTTACCTAACTAAAATTATCGATACCTTGTCTAATATATTCGTCAATCTGCATATATACACTCCTCCCTGTTTCATTAAGTTCTCCGAAGGGTTACATAACCCCAGAAATCGTTGATCGACACCGCGATTTGGGCATATGAGTGGCCCAGTCTTCTACGGTGTACGATTTGCTCAGCAAAGCGTGTCAAAAATCTATGATCGTGGTTTCGAATCCCGGTTCCCCCGATTATGTTTCTAGGTTTGTCAACACCATTCTCGTGCTCGTGGGTTTCGCCAAAGTGGTAAACGTCTGAAACCTACACCCATTAAGGCTTTCCTCCCATATCAAGCTGACGAGCTATGATTTAACTGAAATGAAATGTCAAAAGCGTTGTTAAACCAAATTAAGTCACCTTGTTACTGTGTGTGAGCATATTGTGTCTGAGTGGGATATCCATTGATGTGCAACATGGTATCTCAGTGGGCTAGGACTATAAAACCGGCATTAGTCCAGGCTAGTACAAGCAGACACGCACACATGATTGTGAGCTATGTTCTGATCGGACTTACTTTAGATGGATTTACATTGTGATGAAAGAAGAATCAGTGATCAGTTTCCTAACGATGCATCACCAAAGAATTTGTTTTGTTTGTTTATGTGTTGTTTAACGCCGCATTCAGCAATATTCCTGCTATGTGACGGCGGTCTGAAATATAATCTGGACCAAACAATCCAGTGGTTGACATCATGAGCATCGATCAGCGCAATTGGGATACGATGACATACATCAACCAAGTCAGCGAGCCTGACCTCCCGATCCCGCTAGTCGTCTCTTATGACAGGCATAGGCGCCTTTTTTGGCAACGCCTGGGTTGCTGAAATTGGATCTTCATGGGTCGCATCACCACAGAAAAAATCATCAACAGTTACATGACAAAAATACAATGTACACACAAACAAATATGCGAGCGTGATCATGAATGTACGTCTGTATATAAGAGTACAATAATCTTGAATCTGATATTAAACACCATTTCAGCTCAACTCACCAAACACCACACTTATGTTGGTGGGTTTCACCAAGGAGGCAACAGTCTGCGATCGATGTCCTTTCTGGTGTTGCTCCAACATCAAGCTGACACGGTCATATAACTAACATGATCAGAACGGCATTAAACCCAACTCACTCAATGTCCCTCCCAACCAGGCGGAAACTGTCAACAACGATCAGTTAACTGTCTTTTCAATTGAATAAAAGACAATACCATTCGTATCTGTAGTATGGCCAATACGTCTAATCTCTGAAGAAGCGAACGTCCTGACAATATATTGGATTCTGTCTTTATCGATCTGTAGGTAACCACCCTAATGTTATAACCTTATTTTAGTTTATTATCACATACAAGAAAGGAAGATGTTCATTGTTTATGATATTGAATGTAATTAATTAACATTGTACAATTGCGCTCCTAAGAATATGCAAAACCTGAATAATGTTTTGTTTTGTACGCAATATTTTCTTTTTTGGGGTAATCGATTTCTACATACCGAATGTTTATTGAAGTTACATTTTACACTTTATAAATATTGCGTGCATTTTTCATTGTGACTATCCGCGTGTATGGGACGCCTTCTGTCCCAGTGTCTCATGTTTGTTCCAAACGTCAAAGCTAGAGAGTAATCAGTCTCGATTATCTTCCGAATTAAAAATTAAATTTTCTCTGAAAATCAGTTACGACACCAGATGTTCGAAAAAGAAATGTTCGAAAAAGAAGACTTGCAGGGATCGTTTGGCCTGGAAGAGCATACCCTGTGTCATGGATCGTTACTCCGATCGTTTCCACGGCCTGGAGACTTACGGGGCATTTCGAAAGCTCGATGGTGGATATAAGCCTGCTCAAGTTAAACTGGATACTTTAAAAACTTTAAAAGGTTTATTTCGTCGAATCGAAAACTTTAATACCAGTTACACCTGTACACCACAAACCGAACCCCAACCCTACCCAACCCCTGCATATACCTCATCCCAACCCAAACCCCCCTACCCCCTACCCCCCTACCCCCTCCCAAACAATCAAACCTTTACTTTTGAACTGTCCACCTGCATGCCGCTGTGGCATACCTGGACTACTACAAAGACTTAGATAAGTTTCCTGAGCCATTCGAAACAACTATTATTGATGAATTTGCACCCTGACCTGGTAAATCAACTTACCTCAATCACAATCAACAACGAACAGGTTTTTTTGCAAGGGCTGTTATATACAAATTGAATCAGGAGTTTATTACTGGAAACATGTCTATGAGCGATGCCCAGCGCAAGATGCAGCGTCGACGCTTTGTTGTAATTGATGAGAGAAGTACTGTTATTAATCAACGAGGCATTGTCAAACGGAAACGCAATGCGAAGTATTTACACATACGATCCCGTTATCTAAAACAGGAACACCATACATGCACTGTAAACATAATTCAATGATACCGAAGAGATAGTTTAAGGGTGCGAGCTTAGACATTTGTGATTAAATGAGTGTTTGAGTTAAAATAATCACGTCCCGTGTACACAACCAGCTGCAATGCTATTTCCATCGGACCCAGGGGCACAACAAGGGCCCTGACGTAAGTGAATTTGCAGGACTCCATTCCGAAGTACAAACGATGAATTGTTGGAGCAATACGGCACCTCTGAACCATCGCCAATCTACCTACAAGGCTCTGCAGCATTAACAGAGCCGACATTGTGATAGGCAGGAATATAGCGCTCTAAAGTCTTGGTCGCACATTCAATCTATTGATTTTAAGGCGGGCGAACATGACAAACCCTCCTACTCGATGTCAATCAAAAGTGAAAAACACGTCTCTCTCACGTGTAGTTGAAAATATGTTGCGCTCGCTTTAGTACCTTACCGTTGGACGAGGCTGCTCGCCTAAAGGCGGTGCTTATTGACGGGAGGCTCTTACCCTTCGTGATTCTCACTGGTGTGCTTCTGATACACGTCTGTATCAAATCCACTCGCCGTCCTCAGCGAAACAACTTTCTGCTAATTTGATTCCTTCATTACGGCCACCGTAGGGCTACGCCGGGCGTTTTATGGATGTTTTCCTGAGGTTTTCAAAACATCTTCTCGTTGCAATGGTTTCAAGAGCGGATCTTCAGTTTTAAACCTGACTCGTGAATTGGACAGTGTAGTGCTTGTAGTGTAGTCTTGATGGATCTATATTAAATTTGGGATTTCCTAAACCAAACACTCGCGAATTACAATTGCAAAACATTCAAACCTTCCAGTGAGTTTGGATCTGTTTCAATGAAACTTTCACTGACAGTTTGATACAAAGATGATAGAAGCTTAGTTGCAAATTCCAGTGGAATGTTTGCGTGATTTATTCCTAACGTTTAAGAGACATTTACGCAAGGACCTTCGACCATGACGGACGTGAATTTAAACTGCACAGACATCACGTCCGAAGCAATCTCCCAAGCCCTGTGTAATGTTTCGGAGACCTTAATTCATACACTGTCCCAGTCGTACGATGACGGTTTTACAACTACTTCACCCGGCAACGATACCAACGGGACACTGTTTCGTCGACGTCCCATGGCCAAGCCACTTGAGATGAACATTCAAATCCCGCTGTATGTGATATTGTTTCTCCTGTCGGTGGTTGGTAATATCCTGGTTATTGTGACGCTCATACAGAATAAGAAAATGAGAACAATCACGAACGTGTACCTATTAAACCTATCTATTAGCGACTTGCTACTAGCTGTGTTCTGCATGCCTTTTACCCTCATCCCCATGGTGCTCAAAAACTTTGTGTTCGGAGAAACAATGTGTATTACCATCCGTTATCTACAAGGTAAGTACCACAAAGATTTCAATTTAGAATATGCTTTCTTTCCCTTTTTTCTTACAAACAGATTCCGTGGTTTAGTCCTGAAGACAATTAACTAGGGCTTTTAAGGATTGGCTGAACAATAGACGTTAATGTTAATGTTAATCCCGATTGTCTGATTCTTCCCAAACAAACAGGGTGGGATGATTCAGAAACAATGTAATCGTGGTTCAAATCAAATGTTTCAAACATTTTCATACATAATGTTTATTGATTCCCCGAACAATTCCATGTTTAGAGCTGAATTTTAATCAGCTCAATATTAGAACTTCTTATATATGAAATGTATTATAACGTAACACACAATATAATTATGATTGTTTTGATGATGATGATGATGATGATATGATGATGATGATGATGATGATGATGATGACGATGATGGTGGCTGTCTAGGGTTTTAAACCAGGAATTGTACATGGGCCGTTCCATAATGTGGCTTCAATTTAAATCAGTAAAAGACACGTACATGTATTTCCCCTGTGTGAAATACGATAGCCCTGAACTTTCAGCTTGAATGGTGAACGTCTAGCGTTTTGTCTGAATGAGTCCGCAGGTGTGCCGTATGCTTCAGTCACTCCTGTCCCCGCCTCCCGTTCCCCCCTGCCTCCATCCACACACACACACACACGCACCACGCGGATTCCAAGCTTTTGAATTGAGATCTGCGTAATATGCCTGTAGTACTAAGAATGGGCTCGAACCCTGTTGTTCGGTGGGACGAACGAACGCTGTAACCACACGACCACCATTCCGCTCCACATAAACATAAAACGTGAACGCCAGAGAATAACAGGTCACGATTATCCGACGAAACAAATTCTATTGGGACAAAAAGGAAACAAATAATTTGAATTATAAGGTAAATCAGTCATGACAACAGGTGTTCGTAAAAAGGGTAAGCATGCCTTGCGCTAGGCTGATACAATACACAATGAACATAATGTGCATGTATTCGATAACAAACTATCGCACATATCTCTCGCAAACTCACTGCATTTCCAAACGGGTACGGGCCTACACTGTATGACGGGGTAACCTTCAGTGTGAAGGGGGAGTGTACAATGTGTGAAGGGGTAGAGTACACTGTGTGAAGGGGTAGTGTACACTGTGTGAAGGGGTAGAGTACAATGTGAGAAGTGGTAGAGTACACTGCGTGAAGTGGTAGAGTTCACTGTGTAAAGGTGGGGTGAAATGGGGTTTTATAGCGACGAGCATGCACGTGTGTGTGGCTGCTTGTACCAGTCCGGACTGATGCCGATTTATAGTGTTAGTCCACTGAGATACTTTACCGCAGTTTAACATGAATATCCACTCAGTTACAGTATACTGACTCCGAGCCGACCAGTCCTTGTTAAAGTCCCTTAATGCCGAGCGCCAGACAGGGTAACAACAAGGACCATATTTTAACGTCTATTGGTATGACGCGGACAGGAATCGAACCTCGGACCTTCCGCTCTCCGGGCGGACGCTCTACCACTAGACCACGGAGGTGGTCCATTGTGTGAAGGGGTAGAACACACTGTGTGAATGGGTAGAGCACACTGTGTGAATGGGTAGAGTACACTGTGGGAAGGGGTAGAGTACACTGTGTGAAGGGGTAGGGTACACTGTGTGAAGGGGTAGAGTACACTGTGTGAAGGGGTAGAGTACACTGTGTGAAGGGGTAGAGTACACTGTGTGAAGGGGTAGAGTACACTGTGTTAAGTCCTTTTCTGGTGGCCCCCGCAGTGATATTGGTGGAATAATATCATTAGCGGCGTAAAACCATACTCACTCACTAACATTGACTCTGTTAATGAAATCAAATATTTGCATCCTCTTCTGTGGAATAAATCAAGTCGTCGTAAAACCAGCCCCGCTCATTCGCTCAGTCCGTAATTTAACCGAATCTGTGAATGAGTGTGTGAGGTTGGTCAAACGTCTCTTTACCGTATTTCCATCATGTTACACCATGTGAGCTGAACACTTTTGGGAAGGCACTTTGGTGAAACTCACAAGCTGACAAATGTTGAAACCAAATCTTGATCAGGGAGAATATTAGGTTCGAACTTAGTAGTATCGGATCCTGGTACGGCTAAGGGAGGCACCTATGCACAGTAAATTACAACGCTGTCCACTGTATCCTTAAATAAAGAGTGAGTGAGTGAGTGAGTATGGTTTTACGCCGCTTTTAGCAATATTCCAGCAATATCACGGCGGGGGACACCAGAAATGGGCTTCACACACTGTACCCATGTCGGGAATCGAACCTGGGTCTTCGGCGTGACGAGCGAACGCATTAACCACTAGGCTACCCGACCGCCCCCTTAAATAAAGAAGAAAACATTACAAATAAACGAGACTATTTAATCACAGAGTAAACCATCATAACATCCCAGTATAACATTCAAATGAAAAATGTCAATAAAATCAAAGCTGGCACCGAGGCAAAGCAGTGTGTGGTACATTGTCATTTCCAGGGACATAGTGTAATTACCGCCATTATTAACGACCACCGACGTATATATGTATAGCGTACAGACAAATGACATCAGACATCAGAGATATAGATTACAATGCGTAGATGAAACCATGCCAATTAGAACGAAGTCATCGATATATCCTATTGTAGGTCCACGTCGTCGCTGTAGAGGTCGTAAGCGTAGTTCATGCCTGCGAATATTACTAAACACTACTGTGCTGAAGTTAATTATATTAAATCGATAGCTGACGAATACACAAACGTGTTCGAATGTTACATTGATTTGGCTCACGTTATATTATATCTATGATATACATGTTTTCGAATGGACACATGTTACAGATTGTGCGTTTTTTTTCATTTTTTATGGAACAAATATTTAACGAAGCAAATGGTTAGGAAATATATTTGTCTTCCAACTCAACTCTCGATATTTTAAGAGATGTTAGATGATACTGAAAGTGCCGATTTCCAATCTAAGTCTAGACATTGTCGTCAATGCGTTGTGTAAATTTGAGACTGTCTCTATAATGTGTTGTATAACCAGTTATTGCTTGAATGGTGCAGCTTATAACACCTGAGTTAGGAGACAAGTCAAGCGTTATTTTAAAGGGTTTCTTCAAACTTCTATGACTGTAAATCTGACTATGTATTGCATGATTTCAGGAATGTAGCAAATCCAGATTCTCGTATGTTCTGTGATAACTATACCATGGGTTGTCTGCATCGTGCGTCATCCTTCTCCTACATCAATCTGACATTCCCTGATGCAACTGGAATATTAAAGTGGCGTTAAATATATAACATCAACATTAGAGAATATCCAGTCTGGATCATCCACAGAAGCACATGCCATTGGGCACACATTCGACGAATATCACTGTTGTAATTTCTTTCTTATAATTAAAGTCTCTTTGACTTTCGTTACACTTGGATACATAGAGGGTTACACTGAATACTGAAACTATTCATATATAAACGGCATCTCGATATCGAACTTGTTAGCCGCATACGACGGCTAACCAGTCTACTGACTGTGTGTGCGCATTTGCATGATTGTTAAAAAACAATTTCAAGAATTACGAATGTCTAACTTGCTACGGCAATGTATCTTACTTGCTATCTATGGAACCAGACCTATTGACAAATTTTGTATCAATGCAGGTTGTGAGTCTATTGCATACAACTGTATAAATAAAAGCGACAAAACCCTTTCCATATTCACAAGAAATCTCTGCAGAAAACAGGGTCGATTGTCCGATTCCGACAATATCAGCATGTTTTATGAAGGCAATATAAACGACCTAAATATAAGACTGACTGACTGAGTATGGTTTTACGCCGCTTTTAGCAATATTCCAGCAATATCACGGCGGGGGACACCAGAAATGGGCTTCACACATTGTACCCATGTCGGGAATCGAACCCGGGTCTTCGGCGTGACGAGCGAACGCTTTAACCACTAGGCTACCCGACCGCCCCCTAAATATAAGAAGAAAGTAACACATTTGCCAATTACATACAAACACAGCCATGACTCAATATGCTAAAGGGAAGGAATTACACTGAATGTCAAGAGAACAGGCGAGATTTTTTTATGATATAATAATCCATGTATTAATGCGTGTTTTGCAACAGCAAATGTGGAGGAAGAAGAAAGATAACTGTCATCTCAGCGTTAAAAGCATTCGTGCGACCGTTATCCGTGTGAAATAGTTATATGATAGATAATAAACCATGCAACAAAATATCGCAATGAGTGTAGGAACGTGCACGGTCTCCCATTCAGCTTTATTTTTCTTACATACTTAGCTACATGACCACCACAGGGCGTAACAGCTCGCTTCAGACATTACTGCTGACTGGCACTGAGAGGCATTGTATCCTTATTTCAAGCTATCTATAGAAGAAGGAGTCGTAATGATGCCGTCTTTATTAGGTAACGCATGAGCATTGCATCAATCAAGTTGCCCATTAGACAACATTGATCTCAACTCACTTTCAAAGCAGCATTGTACGCAAAGCCATAATGTGCTACTGTTATAACTTCATGTATTGTAAGGTTCCCATTGAGAGAATTTTGTTGAGAGTCGTGGTATGCACATACATTTCGTCCATTGATCGACAAGTCTGCATGTTCCGCACACATGCCGCGCGTATTTGAGAACAGGTGAAGTACGTAAATATTTGGCTTTCGAAGTAAGAGGCTTTAACCGGGCTGGGGTTATTTATGAAATGAGCGCCAATGTTTCAGTCCATTTGGTGTTTTTTCTATATTTTTTTATTAATTCAATTTAATTGATCTATTCTCATATTCTTATATTATCAGTTCCATTATATATAATAGTCTTGAGTGGATGAGTCACGATCACACAATGATGATATCAGTTGTGCCCCACAAGTACAACAAGAGGAATACATCAGACATTATTTGTTTTTGTCACTGATGCGTAAGTACACAAATACAAATAAACGTTCATTTATTTAAGTCTTTGAAAGA